GCGATATTTCAGTGTATCGATATTTTCTTACACCCCTAACTGTTAATTATTGAATTAGTTAAATATTAGCTTCTGTAGCATATGGTACTATACAGTGTATAGCACTCTGCTGAATCATGCTACAATTTAGCCCAAATTATTAAATAATGATTTATGATTTATGCAATATCCACACAGTGCAAAATAATATTATATATTTGACTATTATTACATTTTTAGTAGACATACCTGACCTACTGAGAAGATGGTTACCATTAGCCAACATCAGTAGAGACAAGTCATCCTAAAGTATCACCAAGTATGCAGTGAACATTTTCTAACTGTCATGTTGACTGGTGAATATTTATTATTATTATTATTATTATTTATGACAGGTAGGAAATAATAAGTATAGAGACTGAAGCATTTTTAACAAAATTTTTCAGGGACATCACTTGAACTTCAGCTATGTTTTAGGTCTGGGATGTAAAAGTATCACAGAACTTTTGCTGGTTAAGTAAAGCAAATCTGTGTAGCACTGAGATCATATGAACATATTACTTATGGTACTTATGATTTTACTTACACACTAAAGAAATGAATGTAAAGTGCACTGATCAAGTAATATTTTGTATTGTTAATTCATCTGACAATTATTTCATAGGTAGTTGTGTTTTCTCTAAATCATAGCACAAATACAATGTATGATTTGACAACCAGTACCTAGTGATTTACCAGTTTTGACCTTTATGATGACTAATTTCCAATATTTTGTAACAATATTGAGCCGTGATGAATCATTAATAAAAACAACAGAAAGACTTCATAAAACAAATGTGAAAGCATAAACAGACATGCACACAAACCTGATTGGCTACCACTGCATCCTGTGGATCGTCTGGTTCTGCCGCTGCCAGTAAGGCTTGTAATGACAAAAGAACCGTCCTCAGTGTCATGGCTGCTGCCCTGAAACAACAAGTTAAGAGTGGAAGGTTAAAGAGCACAGAAAGCAAGAAAAAAAAGTATAAACTAAGCTTCCATACTGGCAATAACCGTTTACTCGTGTTTTGTGGTGTTTAACACCAAACAAGCCCATTTGATTCTCCTTCTTATGAAACAAAGGAGGAATGCTGGTAACGTTCAGAGAAGATTTATTTTGGAGCACACAGTAACATGTGCAGTTGGACTCCCTTGAATTGCAATAGAAATACTGAGTGAYGTCTGTTTTTAGCTCTAGAGGAAAGGCATCCGTTAATAAAGCTGGATATGACAGTAGGATATTTAACTACACTTATGTTCATAAATTAGTGTTATGTAAGAAAAAAAAAGAGTAAACTCTTTAATAACAGAATGATCATACGCAATAAGCAACTCAATAAAAATTATGTAAAGAGGGACACTGTAGAAAGATCGCAGCCCTCTTTACAAAGGTTACAGTGCATTTGAGAGTTCAATAAGTACTGGTTTGTTTTTATCATATTCTCAATTAGAGGGCAAGTGCCTGGAACACATGTGGCATTTACCAAAAGTACTTATTTTCTACCCATACCATTAGGGATCCCTTTGCTCTGTTTGAGGGTGTAGATTAGGTCCGTGTCTCTCTTTGAGACTCTTCCCGTCACCTCCCATTGATAAGATTAAACATAAAACTTCTTGGATAACAAATATGACTCATCATAAAACTGAGGATTAGGCTACAAGTAGTGGTGAGATATAGGCATTGGTAGAAATAGTCACATTTTTCTGCAGTACCAACAACTAACAATTATTCTGAACAACAAAGCCCTAAATAAAAATTTCATACTTTTATTGCTAAGCTATTTTTAATACTAGAAGTGAAATCCCTATATCCTAAAATGGTTTAAGGTTTCCTCCTTCAAATTACACTTAAAAATCCTCATTAGAGTAAAATAAAAATAGGATTAAGATCAATTTTCTAGGGGACATCCCGATTAGCAAGACAAATMAAGCCATATAYCTGGAACGGCTCATGATWCCAGAATGGTCAGGGAATCAAATTGTAGCATTAWCTTATTATTTCTTTAAAATCAGTTTAAAAAGCTCAGCTGTAACTGCTATTCTTTAAYAGATGTTAGAAGTTCAAAATAACTTTGGTCACTTTTATGATCATTCAGTTAATAGCTCTAAATCATTGTGCACAAATCTGACACTACACTTTCTGAAGTCATTTTCTTACCTCAGTCACAGGAACTCATTTAACCTCATCGTTTTATTATTTTCTCATCTTTATCGTGTATAAGAGCTTGTCCAGTTGTTTGAACAGTTGTTTCTTTTGACTTAACTAAAGAACTTGCAGTCACTAAGCTATGCCAACATTTTACAATTCTTAGATTAAAGCTCACCAATAAATGACACTAAAACCTAAAAAGAATGAAGGTCATGACTGTCAAATTCATAACAAATCTATAAAACAGTTTTTTAATTAGGTATACGATGGTGGAAAATAAGAATCAAACTATTACAGTGGAAACCAAAGAAAACAAAGAAAAACTCTGAGATTCAATGTATGAATTTCAGTCTTGTACAGAGTGGGAAAATCAACGCTGGTATTCATTTACTCACCACTGATCTTTAAGGATGTCCAGACATATTGCACCTGTGACTGAGCTGATATTTGGATGCCAGATTTTTGTGATAAACCGCACCTGAGATATTAAAAAGGCACAATTTGTGGATTAGCATAATGAGAACAGTTCCTTAARTCAAAAGGATTAAAAAACTTTATAAAGAAAAATAATCCTTACCTTGGGTGGATTGAATGGATACGTTTCTGGAATCTTAATTTCTAGTTGATATCTACCACCTGCACAGAAATAATTATAACATTTTGGGGAAAATTTTGACAGGAAGACTTCAAGTCTGCTGAACAAAATGTTGAGTATTGTTTTGCTTTSCATGATTAGAAAACTAAAATTGTATTTTGGTTTGTGCAACCACGTGTCCCTTACCTTCATATGGCGTGTCAGGGGGCCCTGCTATCTCCCCTTTAAGTTCTGTGAAGTTCTCATCCACCAAGTCTACTTTTATCTGATTTTTGCTCGTCTGAAATAGGAGAAAAGTGGAGAAATACTGTCACTTGGACAGAATGTTAGCATTCAGGTAATAAGGTGCTGTCAAGCACCAATCTGCCTCTGAGGGATAAGCTCCAAACTTGCGCAAGATTAGAAAAAGTTGACCTCATCTAGCTAAAACTTAAAGATCTAGGTGAAATCAATACTTCTAAGTATGCTCACGAGTGTATGCAGACACGTTCACGTGAGTGCAGAGAGTGGAGATGACAGAGGGGGGCAAGAACTCCAGACCAAAACTGCCTATGTTAGCAGCTAACTAAACGTAGCATCCAAATAAACCATAGCTCGTTTAATTCCTCTAAAATGTCCATAATATGACGACCTGCGCTCAAGCAACAGTTACGTTATCTAAACCTACTGGCACACTGTTAGCCAGGGTTGGTAGCTGTTTGTGAACACAACAACCCTATCGGAGTTAGCTAATGCTAGCAGCAGCTTCATGCTGAGCCATCGACGCGTCACTCTCATTCAAACACAACAAGAAGAACCAACAACAGCCACCTCTAGAGAGTGGCCAGCATGGCGACCAACCTCTTCGCTTTTAAGGACTTCCTTGAATTCCCGTTTTATCCTCTGAACTGCGATGTTGGCCATGGCTCAACCCGTGTTCCCGTCCGGCTGCGGCCTCGTTCGCCGTCCCGTCCGTCCGACCAGCTCGCGACGCGAATGTTAGCTTCACTTTTAAAAAACAGAGCCAAAAATAACAGCTGCGAGGTCGTTCGCTCTTCGTCTCGTTCGTCCCCGGTTCTTGACGAGAGGTTCGATTCGGAACAGAAAAACGGCTCAACGTGTAGCTTTCATGTCAAATGCGCAACAACACAATGGTTGGTACAGAAAACATTTTAATACCAAACTGCATGCAGTCTGGAGATGAGGTCATGTGATCCGAGCTACCCTGAACGCCTCATCCCATTGGTTGATCAGCGTTCAATGTATTATTATTATTATTATTATTATTATTATTATTGTTGTTGTTGTTGTTGTTGTTGTTGTTGTTGTTGTTGTTGTTGTTGTTGTCTATAAACATTCCACAAAACAAAAGTGTAATCAAGGCAAAATCATGGCGAATAAAATAATATTAATGATCATCAATATCACGTGGTTTCGTTTTTTTAAAGAAAATGTTTTACTGTAGTAACAGTGTTCTAGTAAAGGGGTCACAGTGTTTGTGTCTCATGCAGTTCCATAAAAACTCAGAACATTTCTGTCATTTCTACACAAATATTTATTTAGTAGCAGTTTTACATTGCATGATCCCAATAAAACGTGCTACATCTGTTTATATACATTTCACAACAATTACATGCTTTTAAGATACAATCTTGAGGCAAGACAAGATAAGCATCTAATTCTTTACAGATATAAATAGATGTGCATTTGGTATGTTTAGTTGTACTGAAGACAGTCCTGTAATAACAATGTTTATTTACACGTCATGATGAGCCTGGTATGGTGCAGACTGGAAGAATTTCTTTGTTCCATGACTGCTGCACATGGTGTCACTAGGTGGCATTATTGTCCTATAAAAAGAGAGTTAAAGCGAGGCAATTGTTCCATGCATGTTTGACTAAGTTGAGATTACTTACACTTTACAAAAAACTGATACCATCCACAGTTAGAATGAACCTAAACAATATCACAGTTACACAGAATGTCATCATTGGTAACTTTGCATTAATGCTAAAATGAAGGCATGTTCTTTTTACTAAAGCTTTCAGGCACTTTCAACAATAAGATCCTCCTGCCTTCTCTCTTTTATAACATTCTGTGTACCCCATATTTTTTCTCAAGGTTTGTAAAACAGCAATAAGTGAGCAGTGAAATGCATTTGCCATAACCATTGCTATTTTGTGATCACTAAAATGTCTAAATGTTTTAGAATGTTTAATGTGGCACATTGCTGAAAGAAAATATTTTCAGTTGACAGTGATTTCAGGTAAATCTCCGTCATGAAGCCACATGCTTCTGCTACACATCACTGAGTCATTCCTGCTGCTCTAACACTTAACAGGTGGACATAAAGACAACGGTGGTATTCCTTTTCTCGATCTCCAGTTCTGCTTGCTCCTCTGCCTCCTTCTGTCTCGTCTTCGATTTCTCTTGTTGGTGACAAAAAAGACAACAAGCGCAGCCAACGTGACAGACGTAATGAGGACGCAGCCTCCAAAAACCAGCTTCACTTTGTTCTTGTGCATCCATGCACATGTAGAGCAAGCGTTGGGCAGCTTAGCGCTGCATGGCCATGTCTTGTTATTAGTGGGGAAGCCATTAAGTGTAATGATCTCCTTGTACGTTGCAACAGAGGCCTTGGCTTTGGATTGGTGCTGTGTTGAGGTAAAGAGGCCAAACAAGGGGGAAGGTCTGTCTTGGAGCCGCCACACATAGAACCCCTGCAGGTTGACTCGATCAAGATGGTAAGCTAAAAAACAAATGAAAGTGAGAATGAAAAAGAAGATTGWTCATCAGTCGTCAAGTGACATTTTCTTATTCTACAACAGGAGAAATTACTTAACACTCAATTTTTTTTATACGTGATGACTCATGTAAGAAAAAAACATGTTTACAAAAAAATATGGCATGCCAATTTATCAGATAAGGTCTTCAAATCAAATTCTCACATTTCAATTTTCCTAGTAAAAGTTAATATTTCAGCTATCCAGAAAATGTGTTCAATTCAAAATCTATGTTTCAGAAATCTTAAAAAAATTTAACAAATAAAATCATTTTTACATATATGCATATAGGACTTAAGCTCTAAGTAGTGTAAGTACATTATTTTAATTTAGAATAAACACTGTGGATATCTAAAAAAATTATTCTTAATTAAATGGAGAAATTAAAACTTTAGATATCTAATTCCATAGTTACTAATCTTTTTTTAGATATCCAAAAGAACTTTCACAAACATCCCTGACAGATTTTGTAACATGCAAAAATAATGTAAACCAATATAATTAAGGGTATTTAAAATGTAACGATAAAATGTTATTTCAAACATCTGCAGTTAGAATAAAGAGTAGCAACAGTGTCACTACAAATTAAAAAAAAATATTTATTGAGCCTTTGATGGAATGTAATTTTGACACAAAACAGGTTAAATCAATCTCATAATCTAAACCATGTTTTCCCATTAAGTTTTCTGTTTCAGGACATCCTCAGTGTTTTCTTTAAATTGGAGGAACATACTTGACGTTGAATGCTCAATAATGGAAAAACCGACGTCATTTGTTCTAGGAAAAATGTCATCTAAGAAATGAAAAGTTTATTACAGGACAGGTGGCGCTTTGTGTAGCTGATCTGTTTGGTTTATGGTTACAGTATCTGCATATCCAGTCAAGCTATTAAGTGTTAAACCTTTTTGATTTATTTGAAATTTGAACTATAGTTTTTACTAGCACATATGTAATTTGAGATGTTTTTACTTGTAGAAACATCATTCTGAAGAAGAATAGCTGTGAGCCTAGTTTGATTATATATTATACTGGCCTGCCATAGTCCAGGCAGGTAAAACTTGAAAACTCTGAGCAGAACTGCTTTTCATTATTTACCTCTCCCTTCTTTTATGCTTTTATAATTCTCAGGCCTTATTAAAACAGTTTTACTGTAGGAAGCTGTAAGACAGTTAAACTTGTATTGCCTTTCTGTAACTACTCTTGTATGATTACACAACACACTTTGTGCACCCTTACCTTTGAGTGCCTCCTGTAGGTAACTCTTGAGGTAGTGCTGTCTGAGTTTATCCTGAACAGGAGCTGGATCATCAATCCCACTTCCTGTGATGATGACAGGCAGAGTTTTTCCATAACGCTGGCTCACCCAGTTCAACATCTTTCGTAAGCCCCAGGGGACCAGAGCCTGCCGCTCGCTGGAGGAAGGCCAGGTGGGGTCACGGAGCATCAAGCAGTCGTGATCGGGGGCGTGTTTCTTCTGAAAAGTGGCCTGTGCCGGGGGCAGAGGAGAAACTAAACGGGTTGTAAAATGACTCAGGGCGATAAAACTCAATGCTCCTCTCAGCTCTTTTTTCTCAGCATCAGTGAAATTAGGGAGAGGCGACCCAGGGAGGTGCAATATTCTAGCTCTTTCCTCCAAGTATGCCTTCATCTCAGGTGGGTATGTCCSTTTCCTCTGTTTCCCCTCGTGTCTAGACCCCAGCAGGGGGTCTAAGAARCGTCCAATTTCAAATAGAAGGAATCTTTCTGCTGCCAATGTGTGAGATTCTAGGAACGGGTTGGCAGGTTTGGCCCAGTCAGCATGTAATGCAAGGGATATCAAAGCTTTCTGTTCACTGTACTCCCTCTCGTGCAGCCTCCAGGCTTTTCCATGAGCCAGTAGGAGGTTATGAGCTGCTTGATGCCTCTCTGTTGCGTTAGGATAAACATCTATCAGTCTGTTTGGCTCATTGATGGTTATCCAGTATCGAACCCAGGTACCCAGCTCCTGGTAGCAAAGAGCTGCATATTCTTCAAATGCTTCCACGGCGTTGTATGTTAGCCAACCCCCAGAGGCTTGCACCAGTTCTGGCAGGCCCATATTTGGAGCTTTGTGTGTTGGGTAGTACATAACCACCACAGCCTCTAGGTCCAGTTTCTTGAGTTCCATAAGAAAACAGCGGTAGTACCTTTCAAAGTATAGAAGAAGGTGTTATTTGCAGAGAAAATATAAATAACATAAAGAGAATATTTATTTAACGCATCCATTTATATCATTTTAGGAGGAGTTTTGTATAATGGATATGAACAAATAATATCTTACCTGTTGTAGATAGCTCAAACTGTTGAATTTATGACTATAGTTTGACTATGCAAGACCAAAACGGTCTGGTACTGTCTTAAAACAAAATTTAATCTAATTTTATTGGTTATTTGCAAATATAACTGTAGCACTTTTTGTGTAACTTTGAGAATTTCTGCAGTAAAAATCATAACATTCCTTCTGGATTAACTGCATTAAGTGAAATTGTTGGCACTTTAAAGGTATATAAAAGAGTGTGATCATGAACCACCATGAAATGCACTCAGATTGACCATTAACTGTGAGGATCTGTGTGTGTCTTCTGGTTGTCCTGTGCCTCCCTCTGGTGTTTGTCTTGTGTCTTTCATGCCCATTCTGGTTCCTTCTAGGTTCTTTCACACCTGTCTGCTCTTGGTAATCACTCAACTGTTTCCACTTCCACTCATCCCAGTTTCTACGTAACTGGTTCATCTCTTTCACTTCCTCGTCCGCTCATTGTTAATCCATGTTTGGTTCAGCTCCATGTTTCCTGCTCTTGCCTGGATTCCTGTTTTTTGGAAGTTTTTGCCACCACGTTGGCTTTTTGTTTAATAAAYTTTATTTTATTTTGAGCCTTGCCTTGCCTGCCTGCATTTGGGTCCACCTCGCTGCCTAAACCTTGTCATTGTCACTTTGGTCAGAATTAAATATTACTTCCATAGAAGACTACTCATAAAGCTATCTACAGTCGGTAAGATAATAGTCTAACTGTTCATCATTATGCCACAAAACTCCACTTCAAAACAAATGAACTATCTCTTTTATTTGAGTCTCTGTTAGAAACCAGGTTGCTTTATAGCATTAAAATAAATATTTACAGGCTGAAATCAATCCAGTTTRTCTGGATCTTGTCCAGTTTTGAGAGAGTCGTGTTTGTGTGTTTCTACCTCAGAACTTCAGTGTTCACACTCGAGCGGTTTCCTTGGGGTAAAATCAAAGACCAGTTTAGAGCGAAGAGGTAATGAGTCGCTCCAGTGGATGCAAACAGGCGAAGATGACTTCGGATAGCCAAATAATCAGTGCACTGAGCTGGTCTGGTGTGGAGCTTCACCCCAGGGACCGGACGCAGCGATCCGTCTCCTGTCAGGTTCCAGCTGTATACATGAGGGTCAGTAAACTGTGGGGAGAAAGGGAAGAAGCGCACCTGCAAAACGAACAAAATCAGCCAGAGAAATTTGCTTAATAGCAAAATAATGCTGTGTGAATGCAGAGTATTGTATGGTTTGGTTCAAATACTGAAAATGCTGAAAATAAATTAAGGTAAAAGAAGCAGTAGGCTACATATGCTAAAATTAAAAAAAATTCAAACAACTGTAACTAAAAGATAAGATTAGCTAAACTAAAATTAACTGACAACATAAGTGAGCAAAACTAGTGCTAAAAGCCAAAGTTAGCAAAACAGTAGCTTAAAGCTAAATTTAGCATAACAGCAGCTAAAAGTTAAAACTAGCAAAACTGGGGCTAAAAACTAAAATTACAAATAGCCTAAAGATAAATATAGCAAAGAAGTTGGTAAAATCTAAAACTAGTAAAACTGTTGCTACAAGTTACATTTAGYACAACTGTATCTAAAAGCTAAATGTAATTGCAGCTAAAATTTTAAGTGAGCAAAACTATTGTTAAAAGCTAAAATTAGCTGCAGTTGCTGAAGCTAAATACTGTATATCAAACAGTAGCGTAAAGTTAAAGCTTTTCATTTATTTAAAATAAATCAGTGTATTTCTTTGAATGATTATAATTCAAAAAGTAGAAAACCTAGAGGTCATAGCCATAATGTTAGAAAACAATGTGAATGCTGTCACAGCATTTGTTTAATGCAAATAATGTAAGCTCTTATTGTTTCAGGCTCTAATTATTTTTGAATCTTACCTGCATAATAGAGTCTGCGATACCCCAGTGAAATTTGCAGGGAAAATTACTTTTGACCTCGATGCAGGATTCATCAGAGGGGAAACCATTGTCAGTGATGACCTGCCTGTAGTATTGTGCAGTGGTTTTAGGGATCCTGGTTCTGTTTGGTTGATTGAAGTCAATATAGAAAAGGCCACGTCTAATACTGTAGTCATAATTCCACTCAAACCCATCCACCAATGTCCAGGCTGTGTATCCAAACACCTGCACACCATCGAGTTTGACAGCTACAAAATAAATAAAGAGACTTTTCTGTTTGTTTCATTATACTTTAATTGAATTATTTAACATTTTAGAATTTACTGGATGTCCACTTACCCTGTAAGACTTGGTTGATAAAAAGCTTCATAGTATAAATGGCCACTGTGTCTTCCCTTCCCACACTGGAATCAGAGTACCAGCCTCCTTCAGCCACCAGCACGCTCAGGTTCCCATACTCCAGTTTTATCCAGCTCAGGAGGCGTCGCAGGTCTGGAGTGATAGTCTGCCCGTTATGGACGAGGTTCCTGCCCAGTCGAAAATTGTTTGGTCCGAAAGACAAAGCGAAGAAGTCTGCTGTTTTCTGTACCCAGAGCTTCTCCTCGGGGGTGAACGTGGGCATGAGAGATGCGTGCTTCAACTTCAGAGAGACCGGGTAGTCTCCCTCACCAAAGATGGGGTTGGCGAACCAGCCAAGGACTGCTTCCATAGACTGCTGACAAAGTGTAACATTGGCAGAGGTGGCTTGGCCTTTCTGAGGTTCAACCCAGTGGGAACCTAAAACGATGGATACTTTCCCCCTCTGAGTTGGACGGAAGTGGCTGTTGTAGGTCTGCCATGCTTTGGCGTGGGCCTAAAAAACACGGTACCAAGCAAAACATTATGGTTTTACAGAACTGCTCTGTGATTACTACCTGTTCCTCTAGGAAAATTTCTTTCATAAAAGGAATTGCATGTGGCTATATTCATTTTAACCACATCAGTTTTGCAGTTCTATTACACACTGAAGAGTACCAGTACCACTGTGGTGTACTTAGCACAAAAAGTAAGGAAGTTTGGTAGATTAATTCTTTGATATCTGTGTTGAAATTTAGTTATTGACTGTAAAACTGGTACAAGTACCTAAATGTCTGAACAAGGGGAATAGAGAGGGGAACTGAATTCACATTAGTCCAGTTGCCATTTGTTAAATATTAGCAACTTAGCATTAGCTTCCACTATATTTTTAGCAAATTTTTTATCATTAGTACTAAGAAATTTGTGATTTAGATGTCAGWGAAGCTAAGATTTTAGTTAAATATAATAAACACAAATTTCCTTACTTTTTGTGCTAATTTTGTGCCACAATTAAAGAAAAATTGTATATAACATTAATATTTATTGCTGTGACACTGCCAAAACCAGTAAACATAGTTGACTAAAAATAAGTCAATATGTATTTAATGTGAATCCAACAATTACTTTCAGTGACTTTTATTAAAGGTTTTTCAGTTATTYATGAGATATTTTACTAACAGGMAGATGACATTGACTTTAACCAATATAGGCAAAGTTTTAAGCCAAAATGTTGCATTGGGACTGATGCTCTGCCAGATATTTACACTGAAATGTTCGGTGAGTAAAATAATTGATTGTGGAAACGGAAAAGTGCAGTAAAAGAGCATTAATGAGACTTTTCACGTTTGAGCAGGAAATCATTATTTACTTGCTCCATCCTCTCWGCGTTAGCTGTGAGCCTACCATCTGTGCTTGACTGCATAAACATAAGTGATTATTAATGAGGCGTATCTCCCTGACTTCCTGACACACACAAAAGTGCTGATGTGGTGGACTTTGACCTCAGCGTCTCTGCAAGTGTCCTGTTAACTTATCACAAACCTGTCAATAGAAATATAGCCAACCAGTCATCAAGGAGATAAAATACCAAGAGAGCAGAGATATATGGTGTTTTGTTTGGAGAAGCTTTATGCAGAACGGTTGTTGGTTTAACTAAGAACTTATTGGAGGGCTGATGTGATCTGTGTTTACTTCACTGATCTGAGTCCTGAGCTTTAGGAACACATAAACATTCATTGACCATCATAAAATGATAAAGCTGTATGAGTTCAAAGTTTGCACAGTGTGTGTCTGAGTGTAATTTAATAAAATGTACTAACTTGTGGCCTAATATTTTTAGAGGTTCCTGCACATTTTCCAGAATTGTCAGGTTTTTCTGTTGATTTTAGAGATGTGTGTGTGCACGCGCACACACACACACACACACACACACACACACACACACACACACACACACACACACACACACACACAC